GACCCGCCCGGCCAGGGCTCAGGTCAGGATGGAGGCCGCCGAGGTAAAATAAAGAGAGCATTGGACCCAGCAAAAAAAACAATCGATGAGAGAGAAACATCGATCAGCCCCCCCTGCACACCCCCCACTGGGGACGTGCCCACAAGCAACCAAGGTGCATGCCCTTGACCAGAACCGAACCCGGGACCCTTGAGTCCGCAGGCTGACGCTCCACCCTCTGGGCCACACCGGCCAGGGCTGGTGAGAGCTTTAAAGTGCTGAAAGGAAGACCCTGCTGCAGCCAATTGTCACTCAGCGTGAGGACGTGAAGCTGTCCGGTTCTCCAGCCGCGAAGAGACCGCGATGACGACAGTCTAGGAGGACTGAGGAGCCGGACGGTCCCGAAGGGCGTGCGGGAGAGTTTGCCGTTGCCCAAGCCACAGGGGCGGATCCACGGGGGCCCAGTGGGGAGTCCAGACTTGGGGCTGCAGAAGGGAGAGCCGGGGGGAGGCACCTCCGTCCACCTGGCTGCGCTCAGAGCCCTCGGCCCTCCTCCCCCCATCGGTGCGGGCAGCGTGGCTCTCCGCGTGGCCTCGGGCACCGACGGGCCCCCTGGGACGTGATGGCAGACCCCGCCCCCACCCGACAGGGCCACAGGCTGGACGGGGACGGCCCCGGGCTCCCCACCGAGGCTTACCCAGAGGTCAGTGGGCCCTGGCAGCTGCCGCCACGGGAGGGACAGGAGGTGGGTGCACTTCCAGGGCCGGGGCGTGGCAGTCTCCTGCCGACAGCCGGAGGCTCTGCGGTGCCTGCGGTTTGGCCCCGTGCGGCTGCTCTGGGTCTGGTCTTATCTGAGCCCTGGATTCACATATAGGAGGCCCCGGGGGCCCTGGTGCCTGGGACAGGCCGCACCCCTAGGCCCCTGCCCAACGTCCTTCTCAGGGAGGTCTTGGGGGCCGGCACAAGCTGGGGGTGCTGGGCTGGGGGTGCAGACCTGGGGGTGCTGGGCTGGTGCAGGCCCAAGGACGCGGAGATGAGAGGACACCGCTGCTCCCCCGCCACTGAGCGGCCCCTCCCCTGCTGGCCGCGAGCGCACTGGGCCTTGTTAAATAAGCTGCTGCCGTGCGAGGAGATTGGGGGTGAAAGTGCCCAAACGATCGCCGATAATGCAGGAGGGGCGCCGGCTGTGGGGGCCGCCAGCCGCCTCTGGGCCACGCGGTGGGACAAGACCGTGCAAGCGGGGCTGTCTGAGGGGGGCGGGCTTCCCGGGCTGGGGGAGCAGGAATCCAGGGCTCGGGGGTGCTCCGGGTGGAACAAAGGGGTGCTTTGAGGGGCAGCGCCTGCCCAGGTCCCCGTGGCCCACCTCTCGCCCGCCGGGCACAGCGTCTCCGGCAGACGCACCACATGGTGGGTGCTGCGGGCGCAGCCCTGTGACGCCCTGGCCAGTGGCCGGTTTCAGCCAGTTTCGCCATCTGTGAAGTGAAGGTGGGGGCCGGCCCCTCAAGATGGTCGTTCGCGAGCGTCCTCGTGGCCTGAGCCGGGCAGCTGGAACCCTGGACACGCACTGCCCATCCTGGAGGCTGGACCGAGGCCTCTCTCCCAGGTCCCCACAGTGTCCCTCTGTGGGTGCCTGTGTCCCGGTCCCTCTTGTCATGAGTACCCCGGTCACACTCGATCAGGTTCCGGGGGACAGCCCGGCCCTGGCCCCGGTGCAGGCGGAGGGAGGGGCTCGGCCGCCCGCCAGCTGCCTGGCGTCGATTTCTGCGCAGAGAGAGCCCTGGCGGCCGCAGTGACGGAGGCCCTCCCGCTTCCCGCTGCGGAGCCTGGGGTCTGTCCCCCCGCCCCTCTGCCTGTCCCCACACCGAGCCCGCGCGCCCGGGAGTCTGAACGCTCTCGATTCTCCTCGGCCCTTCGCCGCCACGTGCGGCTGCAGGGAGGGCGCTCGCTGTGGGAAAGGCGCGTCCCGGCGATGCAGCTGGTTTCGAGGCCGACCTTCCTTTTCCACAGGGAACCGGCCGTTGGCAGTGGCTCACCTCTCCCCGCAGCCCCGAGGCGGCGGCAGCTTTCCCGGCACGGCCTGGGGCGTGTTCCGTCCGTGTTCCAGGGACCTACGGAGGCTTAGCGGCTGCTCTGGTGAGGGGTGCGGAGAGCGGCCACAGCGTTTGGACAGGTTCAAGCCTGGGCCTAATGAGAGGGCACGATCCCCTCTCGTGGCAAAGCCACGTGCAGGTCCCAGCACAGTTACAGCCAAAGGCTGTGGCTGTGAGCTTGACCTCATGGCCCGAACCTGTGGGCCCACGTGGCTGAGTGATGTGGGCTGCGGGAGGGGCAGCGAGTAAACAAAGCTCGATCAGGTGCCTGTGATTGAGTGGATTCGAAACCCGCGAGAACGCTGTAAGCATCTTGGCCACGCCCTCACTGTGCCTCGTGGAATCTGCTATCAAATGAAGACTCGGCTCGCAGGCCGGGGCGCTGTCTCTCCATCAGGGAGGCTCTCCATCAGGGAGGGCAGCGTCCCACCCGCCCCAGCTTTCTTCCCTTGTCTGTCTTTTCTCAACCCTCCACCGCCCCCTCTCAGGCTCCCGGACCTGGCTGAGCTGGCGTGGCACATAAGGTGCCCAACGCCGGCTTGGCACAGAGGTGATGTCCTGTTACAGTTTCTTAAAAAAATATTTTTTTTGTATTGACTTCAGAGAGGAAGAGAGGGAAAGAGAGAGAAACCTCAATGATGAGAGCGAATCATGGATCGGCTGCCTCCTGCACGCCCCCCACTGGGGATGGAGCCTGCAACCCAGGCGTATGCCCTTGACCAGAATCAAACCCGGGACCCTTCAGTCCACAGGCCAACATTCTGCCCACTGAGCCAAACTGGCCAGGGCTATAGTTTCTTTTTATTTATTGATGGATCAGAGAGAGAGAGAGAGAGAGAGAGAGCGAGATCGACTTGTTGTTCCACCCGTGTGTGCTTTCATTGGTTGAGTCTTGTATGTGCCCTGACTGGGGATCGAACCCCCAGCCTTGGGGTATCAGGATGAGGCTCCAGTCAGCTGAGCTGCGTGGCCAAGGCTCTGATAGAATTTCTACTTGGTGTTTCCTGGGTAAGTAAGAGCCGTTGTTTCCTGTGATTTTCTTCGTTACCGTGTTACCGACCCGACCTGGTCCAGGTGCCAGGTGCCCGTGTGCTCTCGGCTCCCCTTCAGCCTGGATAGTCGGTGTCGGGAGCTCAGGCAGCGCCCCCTCTTTCCACGTCTGTCCCTTCGTATTGGGAGAACCCCCAGGACCGCATAGGCTGCTGAAAGCCCAGCCTGAATCTAATGTTGGCTGAATTTGGGGGGACAAATATCCCTTAACATGTTAAGCATCTTTCCTTCGTCTTCGTTTGCTCTCTCCTCTCTCTCTCTCTCCTCTCTCTCTCTCTCCTCTCTCTCTCTCTCTCTCTCTCTCTCTCTCTCTCTCTCTCTCTCTCTCTCTCTCTCTCTCACACACACACACACACACACACACACCTTTCCCAGGTGTGTTTTCTGCTCTGTTAAGGGGTTTTCTCCTGAAATCAGCCTTGCGGTTCACAAGCATGCTGGCCCCCCCTCCTGGTCGCACGCGGCATTGCACACCCCGGCGCCTGTGGCCGCCAGGAGGCAGGTGACCTTTATTTCACTCTGAGGGTTCAGACACCGGGCAGGGACCCCCCCCCTCACCCCCCCGCAGGGCGCATGGCATCTCTGAGGCGACAGCTGCCCATCGCCCAGGTCCTGGCATGAGAGGGCGCAGAGCGGGCACCAGCCACTCGGGGACAAACCCAAAGCAGGAACGAGTGAGAAACCTGAGTTGTCAGATCTTAAACTCGCTGTTGGCTGTCCTTGGGTTCCTGCATGAACCCCCGGATCTGGTTGGGGGGTCTCAGTGGGGGACCCCTGCCGTCTTCCTGCCTCCAGGGGGAGCTGCGGTCGCGCAGTGAGTTCCCTTTCATTGTATGACTGTTTGCCGGAGCGGCCGTCCAAGCTCGCAGGCCCCCAGCAACGCAGGAGGGTCCCAGCTGCCCACATTCCGGCCAACCCTCCGGGCCGTCCCTGCCGTGTGTGTGTGTGTGTGTATACGTATGCGTGCGCTTGTGTGTGTGCGTGCGTGTGCGGTGCGCTGTCAGATGACCATGTCACAGGACACCCTTTCACGGGCTTGCTGGCCAGTCGTCCCCCCCATTTTTAATCGAGTTGTTCAACGCGCCTTTACTGACTTGCAGGCGTTCCTTGTTTGTTCTGGACACGCATTTTGCAGTTTTCGGCCAGCCTGGGGCTGACCAGTTGGTAACTGTCTTTCAAAGAGCAGGAGTTTTCAACCGTAATGAGGTCTGTTTCGTTGTGCACGCTCACACACAGGTCACACGCTCACACATGGGCCACACGCTCACACATGGGTCACACACGCACATGCGCACACACGCCTGCCCACAGCCGTGGGGCGGACGAGGCCTCACTCCGTGCAAAGCCCTGGACGTGGCTGTGAGAGGAGGAGCCGAGGGTCCATCTATCTCACCAGGCAGGGCCCGAGGGCTGCCTGGAGGGGCCGCCTGCCTCCTGAGGGCCCGGCGAGGGCCAGAGCGCACCGGGCGAGACAGGGCTCCTGGGACAGCCCTGGAGAAGGCGGTCATGAGGGGTGGGGTCCTGTTTGGTGTATGCAATCAGCCAACGCCAAGCCAGGCATACGTGCCCGGCGTCCCCGGTCCTGTGTGCAGACCTGGTGGTCGGTGCCGTGGGGGGTAGGGGCCCCTCTGGGCCTCCTGGATGCCCTGGCCCCCGGGGGCAGCACCCCCCCGCCCCCGCCCGCCAGACCCGAGGCGCCAACTGAAGCACACCCGTCTCTACAGCAAGTTTATTTCAGAAAGCGGAGCATTGGACAAAGGCTCGGAAATAAATACCCGTACAGACAAGGCAGTCGGGCGGGATGGGGGGGCGGGGATCAGAGGGTCGCAGGTCGGAGGGTGCGGTGCAGACGGTGCTGAGGGGGCCAGGGGGGCACCCCGCTCAGCCCCGGCTGGGAGACAGGCCCAGGGCCCCGGAGCGGCGGGCGCGGCCGGGCCCCCTGCGCTGGGGCGGCAGCTCGCACAGCGTGTCCTGGCACAGGCAGCTCTCGATGTGGGTGTAGGTGTGGCTGCGCGAGGAGCCGTCGGGGCAGAGCAGCTCCACCGTCCGCCGGCTGGTGCGCTCCTCCTTGCAGCAGGAGCACTTGTGGTCCAGCGCCTGCGCCTCGGCCGAGTACCTGCGGGGGCGCCGGCGTGAGGTCCCGTCCCGGGCACGGCCCGCCCCACCCCACACAGCCCGAGACTCACATGGCGAAGGTCCCGCAGGACCCGGAGCAGTAGTTCATGAGGACCTTCTTGGTGCAGCCGCCTTCCGAGATCTCCTTGGTCTCGGAGATGGTGGAGCAGGGGACCTTGGTCTCATTGCGAGGGATGCCTGGGGACAGCGAGGCGCAGGCTTGGGGGGGGCCTCCACGCCTCCCGGGGGGCCACCGCCCAGAGCCCCTGGCAGCCAGGCCGCCGAGGGGAAGCCCTCAAACTCGTCATCCGCCTGAGATTGGCTCCGGGGGCCGACTCGCGGTGCGGGTCAGGGTCAGGGTCAGGGTCAGGGTTAGGGTTAGGATCAGGGTCAGGTTAAGGTTAGGTTAGGGTTAGGGTCAGGGTCAGGGTTAGGGTTAAGGTTAGGGTCAGGGTCAGGGTCAGGGTTAAGGTTAAGGTTAGGGTTAGGGTCAGGGTCAGGGTTAGGGTTAGGGTTAAGGTCAGGGTCAGGGTCAGGGTACTCACACTTCTTGCAGCAGCCATTGGGCATGAGCGTGATGGAGCCCTACAGAGAGGGAGAGTGAGCCTGGGACCCAGACCCCCCCATGGGGAGGTCCCCGGTCACCAGGGTCAGAGGGGCAGCTGCTACAGAAGGGGCCCAGGCCAGAGGCCACCATCCCAGCATAGAGCCAGCCCTCCAGGACCATGAGGAATGCCCCCCCCCCCCCCCGCCAGTGGAGGGCACACAGCCCGCCTGGACGGCCGCTCACCGGGAGGCAGGCGCTGGGGTCGAAGTCGGGGCAGGTGATGTTGGAGACGGACGAGATGAGTTGGTTGTGGATCTTCACGCAGCTGAAGAAGGTGCAGTTGTTCTTGGGATCACTCTTCATGTCCCCGGGCTGCGGGCGGAGGGCAGTGTGTGAGGGCCTCCCCGAGAGACCGACGGGGCACCCAGCAGGCCCCCCCCCCCAGCCAAGGATGGAGGCCCCAGGCCATGTGACTGGCGCCAGGCTGGAGGGGCCGTGGGTGTGCCCTGGGCTCCCGGCAGCCCCGCCCCCTCTGGGCCGCCCCTGCACCTTCAGGATGAGGTTCTGGCCGCCCGGCCTGTTGATGATGCAGTCCGTCTGCTCGCACTTCTTGCAGCACTCGCCCGGGACGGTCACCAGCCCAAAGCCCTAGGAGACAGGCCGGCTCAGCGCGGCGCTGGGGAGCAGGCGCGGGGCACCCCCCCCCCCAGCTCCTCTCGGGGGACTCACGGGGTTGCAGGTGCTGGGGCAGGGCACGTGGCTGCAGGACACGTTGTTGAGCTGCGTGGCGCTGTCTGTGATGTTGGTGCAGACGCAGGTCTCGCACTTGGAGGAGTACACTGGGGAGCCGGGCTGGGAGCAGGGAGGGGCGCGTGAGGCGGGCGAGCCCCGAGCCTGGCTGGGACCCCACCCTCCGGCCCCGCCCCCTCCCCCAGGGCGGCCCCTGGCGCACCTGGTACTCAGCGTTCCCAACAACACAGACGCCCTTGGGCACTGGGGAGACAGAGAACAGGGCCGTGGGTCAGAGGCACAGCCCAGGGGCCGCGTGGGCACTGGGGCCGGGGGTGGGTGGGACCCCCCAGAAGTGAGCCCCTGCACCCCACGGGCCCCTCGCGCCACAGCCCAGCCCCCGCCGCCTGGCCCCCGCCCGGCCTCTCACCGCATGAGTAGAAGGGGCAGCAGCGCCCGGGTTTCATCTCGCTCTTCACATCGAAGCCCAGCGGGCACTGCGGGGGCTTCTCCTCGCACAGGCTGGTGTTGCACTCTGCGGGCGGAGGGCGGGGACGCGGGACACGGTGACCCCCGTGCAGGGCCCGGTGCTGAGCGCCTCGCCCCAGCAGCACCCGCTCCCAGCCCCCCCCGCCCCCCCAGCCTCAGCACCCCGGGTCGGTGGCTCCCAGCTCACAGAGGAGGTGGAATCGGGCCCGGGGGTGGGGGCCTGGCTCGGGGACCCCGGGGGTCACAGGGCGGGGCAGGGCCGGGCCTTACTGCAGAAGGTGATGTTGCAGCAGGTGTCCGCGGGGTTGACCTCCGTGACCAGGTACGTGCCGTCCTCCTTGCACTGGGCGGGCGGCTCCTGGCTGCACTTCTTGGGCTGGCAGACGATGCCACTCCCACCCTCCAGGCAGACACAGTCCTTGCAGTCGAACTCAAAGTGCTCCCCAAACTGCAGAGAGGGCCGCGGTGAGTGGGGACGAGAGCTGTGCCCCCTCCCCCCCCCCCCGGGCGGCTCCGTGGCGCATCTGGGGTCAGCAGGGAGAGGCACTGCGCTGGGCACCGCTGACGGCCCCCCCGCACCTCAGCACCAGGGGGTTCTGGTCCAGGACAGCGGCCGTCATTCAGGGCCAGGCCACGAATAACACAACCGGGACCTGCTCGCCAGCATTTCCCTCCGCGGCCACGCATGTGGCAGACAAACCACACGTGGCCACTGGGTGTGTGAGGGAGAGCTAAGGGGTCAACCACGTGCAGGAGGCAGACAACCGGGCAGTGGCTGGGACTGCAGCTCAGGGTTAGACAGGGCATTGGGAACCATGGAGTGTGGATGGACGGATGGAGGGATGTGTGGACGGACAGATGGGCATATGGATGGATGGACAGACGGACAGATGGATGGATGGTTGGACAGATGATGATGGATGGTTGGTTGGTTGGATGGATAGATGGATGGTGGGTGGGTGGGTGGATGGATGGATGGATGGATAGATTGTTAAAGACATTGATGGGTGGCTGGCTGGCTGGATAGGTGGTAGGTGGGTGGATGGATGGATGGTTGGATGGATGGATGGATGGATGGATGATGGATGGAGGGATTGTTGGAAGCATAGATGGATGGATAGATGGATGGACAGGTGAATGAGCAAAAGGATGATGTACAGAAAAACAGAGGATGTAGGGATGGAAGGATGGAGGGACAGGCAAACAGACAGAGGGGTGGGAGGAGGGGTTGTTGGCACAGCTGGGTGGAAGGTGGACGGCCCTGCTAGCCAAGCTTTGCAGGACTTAATTGACTGGTTACAGAGTCTTTGAACTCCCAGGTTCTCATGTCCACCCCACCCCACCCCAAAAAACTCAGGGTCCGTGAGAGAGTACCACCCCACACCGAGGGGCAGGCCTACCTCTCTGGGCACGTTGTCAGGCCCCACACAGCCTAGGAGAGAGGAGACAGATCCCGTTAGCAGAGTCCGGGGGCCACAGCACAGGCTCAGCCTCGTGGAGGCCGGAGGGAGGCCCGAGGGCGGGAGACGTACCACACACTTCCACGCAGACGTCAAAGCCGGGGGCGTAGTTCATGGTGCCCTCGGGGCAGAAGCAGCCTTCCACCAGCAGCGTGCTGTTCTGCGGGGTGCTGGGGGTGGGCAGACTCGGGGCACTGGGGGAAGGAAGGCATCGTGAGCGGAGTGTGCGGGCGGCTGAGCACCAAGCCTGGCAGTGCCGCCCGCCGGCCGGGGAGCCGCCGCCGAGACTGACCTGGACTTGCAGGTGGGTTCCTCCGCGGGACCGCAGGCCCGGTACTCCCTGTGAGCCGGGCACGTCACCGCTGCAGGAGGGAGGCAGCAGGCAGAGGCCAGGGTCAGGAGGGAGGAGCCTGTGCCCCCAAAGTGACCGTCCTACCCAGCCCCTCCCTCCCACACGGCTGAGGGTGGCGGGCCGCCCGCACTGCTCGGCTCGGCACCCCACCCTGTCTCCAGCTGAGCGGCAGGTGCCCAGTGGTCTGAGCCAGGCCGGCAGCCTCCCCCCTCCCAGCCTCCAGCCAGCCCTCCCCCACCCCGGCCCCGGCCTGCGCTCCATGCGTGCCCGGCCGCCCCATCCTGGCTTCAGGCTGGCACAGCACCCAGCCGAGCCCTGCGGGAGCCCAGTCCGGGCAGGTGGGCGGGTGCTTACGGCAGGCCCCGTGGGTGTGGTTCCTCCAGTCGATGCAGACGCCCTCGTGGGCACAGAGGGCCGCGTAGGTCTGCAGGCTGGCGCACTCCAGGCCCGAGTTGGGCACGCTGCAGGTGTCGAACACGCAGGCCTCGTAGTAGTGCTGGGGGGGCGCCAGGGGGTGGCACTGGGCAAAGAGGCTGCGGGGAGGGACACGGGTCACGGCCCACCTCTCACACTCCCCTCCACCCAGCCCTGCCCTGCGCTGCCCCCGAGAGGCCCTGGGTGGGTGGCTCTGGGAAGGGCACCAGCACGGTGGCCCCAGGGTGAGGGGGGGCCAGCCGCCCCAGCAGCTGCAGCAGAGGCCACCCTGCCTCCACCTGCCCACCCCTGGGGATGAGCCCCCCCTCCCCCCAGCTCTGGGAGTGGCCCCTCTGTCTAACCCACTTCTCCCTCCAATATCAACCCTGACCCAGTCAGCTGGTCTACCCAGGGTAGCTTTAGGGCTCAGAAAAGGCAGAGGGACGTCTGACCAGGCAGCTCGGCCCACAGGAAGCAGGAGCCTGAGTCCGGGGCCCCTCTATGACGGGCACCCTCAGCGCCCCGCCTCCTCTCCTTGCTGATGGGGGGGGGAGACACAGAGGAGCCTGCCCCTTGAGACCCTGCGGCTGGCGGCGGCCCGGCACCTGTCCTTGATGAGCTCGCAGAGAGGAGAGGAGCAGTTCCTGTTGGGGCCGGTGCTGCCCCCGGGGAGCGTGGTGGCTGGGCGCCTGGTGGTGAAGCTGGTGTGGGGACAGTGCGGCTTGGACGGGTCGTTCACCACCCACTGGTCGGCGGCCACCTCGCAGTCCGAGACGACCTCGCCGCTGGGCAGCACGCAGTCGTCCGCCGTGTTGTTGGTGCACGTGCCTGCGGCGGCGAGAGACCCACGCTGAACCCTCCGCCCCCCACGCAGCCGCCCCGTGACCCGCTGGCCGGGCAGCACCGGACTCCTGTCCGCGTCCCACACGCGCCAAACCCAGGACAACGCACGGGAAGGGTGCCGGCCGCCCCCAGCAGCCTCGGGTCCCCAAGTCCCTGAGCCCACAGGTCCCCGAGCAGAGAAGCGGGAGAGCCACGCTCACCGCACTGGCCCTTGGTGTTGTTGCCGAACAGGCGGTAGGGCAGCCGGATGGTGAAGGAGAGGCCGTTGTAGGAGATGAGGGCGTCCAGCTCGGGGATGTTGACCACGTAGTTGATGCCCGACTCGTACACCTGCAGCCCGTACTTCTTGTAGGGCAGGGCCACCGCCTGCTTGTTGACCTGCACCTGCGGCCCACATGCGGGGTCAGGGGCCGGGGCCGGAGCGAGTGGCCACAGCCGCCGCCCGGCCCGCCCCATCCCCCTGAGACGGGAGCTCGATGCGTCCGTCAGGGCCGGGCGGGCTGTCCCTCCCACCCAGCCTCCCGCCGAGGGGGTGGTGCCGGCCGTGGACGTACCTGGACCCTCATGGGCGCCATCTGCACGGTCTTGATCAGCACCTCCTGCGTCTCGTGGCGCACGATCAGCGTGCGGGGGCAGGACACCTGGTCGTTGACGTCGCAGTGGTAGTTGTCGATGTAGACCCCGAAGTTGTCCACCGTGGGCCGCACCTCCTCCACCAGCACGTAGGTGCAGTTGCCCTGGTAGCTGTAGTAGAGCCCGTCGAAGGTGACGTAGTGGGGGTCCCCCCAGCCCGTGCAGTAGCCTGCGGAGGGGGCCGGGTGAGCCAGGGCGGGAACCAGGGGCAGAAAAGACTGCTTCCCAGGCGGCCAAGCCAGAGGGTCTGGTTCCGCCTCCAGCCCCCAGAAGGGCCTCTCCCGGCTCCTCCCACAGGACCGGCCTGGCTTTGGAGCCAGAGGGCTGGGTTCAGGCAGAGCTCCGCTGGGCTAGCCCCGCCCCCTGTGCGCCCCCTGCCTGGGATGAGAAGTGGGGTGTGAGAAGCCCTGGGGCATGTGCCTGGCCATCAGCCACCAGCCCACCCTGGGCCTGCAGCCTCCACCCACAGAGGGAGGGGCGGGAGGGGCGGGCCTGGCCTGGGCGGGCTTACAGTCACACTCCCAGTGCCAGCAGCAGCCGTCGGGGTCCATCACGCGCACAGGAGTGAGGTTGTTGGAGCAGGTGGGCATGGGCGGGGGCTTGCACTCCACCTCCACCAGCTCCACCGTGTTGTCGTGCTTGCAGACGGCCATGGTGCAGTTACACAGCCACCACGTCTCGTTCTCCTGCGGGCGGGAGGGCGCGGGTCAGCCGGGGTCAGCCGGGGCCGGCCGGGGTCAGCCGGGGTCGGCCAGCCCCGCTGCCCACTCAGGAGGGGCTGTGCTCGTGAGGCCCAGGGGCAGCCGAGGAGCCCTCCCCGGGGCTGGAGGCAGCTGCATCTCGTTCCAGCGAGAAGGGGGGGCTCTGCAGACCCTGTGCCCGGGAGGCTTGGCTCTACAGGGGCGGCTCGGGACGTAGGGGGCAGGAAGGCAGCCCCCGGGGCTTCAGACCTGGACGGCGCATCCAGCGCCGAGGGGACCAAAGCCGCCCACAGCCCACTGACCTTTCTGGGAGGATCAAAGTCTGGGCACCCGGGGGGTTTGGTGGTGGTCGGCGTGCTTGACGTGGTGGGTGGCCGGGTGGTGGGCGTGGACGTGCTGGGTGTCGAAGGGGTTGTCGGCGTGGAGGGCGTGGGCGGCGTGGAGGGCGTGGTGGGCGTGGAGGGTGTGGACGGGCAGGGCCAATTGAAGATCTCAAAGGAGCAGTTCAGGGAGCAGTTCACGTAGTAGCAGGTCTCCCCATGGGTGCCGTTGTACACCATCTCACCTGCAGGGGAGAGCGCGGTCCCTACGCCGTCCGAGAGGCCGGTCCCCGGCCGTGGCCGCAGCGAGCGGGGGCCGGCCAGGGACAGCCACCCGCAGCGTGCGGCTTCCCCAGCAGCTCCCGGGCTAGACCGCGGGCCTGACTCCCCACCACTGTCCCGGCAGCCGCTCTCCCTGAGATCGGCAGAGAGCGCTTGGGTACCTGGGTCATAGTAGGTGTCATTCAAAACGCAGCAAAATGTGATGTTGTGAGCGGTGACGGTCGGGGTCGACGAGGAGGTGGGCAAACCGGTGGAGGCGGTGGTGATCGGTGTGGTTGACGGGTGTCCGGGCGGAGTAGGGGTTCCCGTGGTCGTTGTTGCAAGAGTCGTGTGGGTGGGGGTGGGGGTGGACGGGGGTCGTGTGGAAGGCGAGGTGGTCTGCGTGCCTGCGAGAACGGAGGTTACAGGGAGGCTGGTGGCGTCACTCACCTTCGATGCTGCAGGGGCCTGGCACCTCACCACCGCGTGGCGCCTGGCACGGAAGGGCTCACGCCCATGTCGGGCTTTCAGTCTCAGGTGGGGCCGATGAGCAAGGCCCACGGTCCACAGTATGAGTAGCCGCGAGGCCCGCAGGGTGGAGCCCCTGTCCCTGCCCCACACCCCCCTCCCGACAGCATGGCACCGCCCCCCACCACTCAGCGGTGGCCAAGGGCCCTGTGCCTGCGGAGAGGCATCCTGTGGGGCAAGTGGGGGCCTCGCATAGGCCCATGGCCGTGGCCCACGGAACGCTCACCGGCTGGGCTGGGCAGGCACCAGGCTCGCCGAGCCGGCCTGGACCCTCCCGGCGACCATTCTCACTGGACAGAGCACAGCGCCCAGGGTTTAGGTCCGAGGGCCTACAAAGCTCCCCTGGGTGATAAGGGACCGGGGCGAGTTGCCAGCTGCCACACTGGCTCCGGTGTCCATACCTGAAACGGTGCTCCCCGGGGTGCTGACCACGGGCTTCGTTTCCGTGGGGGGTGAAGGAATGCTGGTTGTCTTCACGGTTGTTGGAGAGGTAGTCAGAGGTGTGGTTGACTCCGTGGTAGAGGGGGAGGTGGACTGAGATGTTGGAGGGGAGGAGGACTCAGGCGGGGGTTTAGGCGTGGTGGTGGGTGTGGTGGTGGTGCTATGGGGGGTGGTGGTTGGTATCTCTGTTGAGCTGATGGTGGGTGTGGTGGTGGGGGGCACTGGGGTGGTGGTGGTGGTGGTGGTGCTATGGGGGGTGGTGGTTGGTATCTCTGTTGAGCTGATGGTGGGTGTGGTGGTGGGGGGCACTGGGGTGGTGGTGGTGGTGGTGGTGCTATGGGGGGTGGTGGTTGGTATCTCTGTTGAGCTGATGGTGGGTGTGGTGGTGGGTGGCACTGGGGTGGTGGTGGTGGTGGTGGTGCTATGGGGGGTGGTGGTTGGTATCTCTGTTGAGCTGATGGTGGGTGTGGTGGTGGGGGGCACTGGGGTGGTGGTGGTGGTGGTGGTGCTATGGGGGGTGGTGGTTGGTATCTCTGTTGAGCTGATGGTGGGTGTGGTGGTGGGGAGCACTGGGGTGGTGGTGGTGGTGGTGGTGCTATGGGGGGTGGTGGTTGGTATCTCTGTTGAGCTGATGGTGGGTGTGGTGGTGGGGGGCACTGGGGTGGTGGTGGTGGTGGTGCTATGGGGGGTGGTGGTTGGTATCTCTGTTGAGCTGATGGTGGGTGTGGTGGTGGGGGGCACTGGGGTGGTGGTGGTGGTGGTGGTGCTATGGGGGGTGGTGGTTGGTATCTCTGTTGAGGTGGTGCTCGGGGGCACTGTGGTGGTAGGGGCTGGGGTTGGTGTCTCTGTTGAGGTGGTGGGTGTGGTGGTGGGGGGCACTGGGGTGGTGGTGGTGGTGGTGCTATGGGGGGTGGTGGTTGGTATCTCTGTTGAGCTGACGGTGGGTGTGGTGGTGGGGGGCACTGAGGTGGTGGTGGTGCTGGTGCTATGGGGGGTGGTGGTTGGTATCTCTGTTGAGGTGGTGGTGGGTGTGGTGGGGGGGGGGCACTGGGCTGGTGGTGGTGGTGGTGCTATGGGGGGTGGTGGTTGGTATCTCTGTTGAGCTGATGGTGGGTGTGGTGGTGGGGGGCACTGGGGTGGCGGTGGTGGTGGTGCTATGGGGGGTGGTGGTTGGCATCTCTGTTGAGCTGATGGTGGGTGTGGTGGTGGGGGGCACTGGGGTGGCAGTGGTGGTGGTGCTATGGGGGGTGGTGGTTGGTATCTCTGTTGAGGTGGTGGTGGGTGTGGTGGTGGGGGGCACTGGGGTGGCGGTGGTGGTGGTGCTATGGGGGGTGGTGGTTGGTATCTCTGTTGAGGTGGTGGTGGGTGTGGTGGTGGGGGGCACTGGGGTGGTGGTGGTGGTGGTGCTATGGGGGGTGGTGGTTGGTATCTCTGTTGAGGTGGTGGTGGGTGTGGTGGTGGGGGGCACTGGGGTGGCGGTGGTGGTGGTGCTATGGGGGGTGGTGGTTGGTATCTCTGTTGAGGTGATGGTGGGTGTGGTGGTGGGGGGCACTGGGGTGGCGGTGGTGGTGGTGCTATGGGGGGTGGTGGTTGGTATCTCTGTTGAGGTGGTGGTGGGTGTGGTGGTGGGGGGCACTGGGGTGGTGGTGGTGGTGGTGCTATGGGGGGTGGTGGTTGGTATCTCTGTTGAGCTGACGGTGGGTGTGGTGGTGGTGGTGATGGTGGTGGTGGTGGTGGTGCTATGGGGGGTGGTGGTTGGTATCTCTGTTGAGCTGATGGTGGGTGTGGTGGTGGGTGGCACTGGGGTGGTGGTGGTGGTGCTATGGGGGGTGGTGGTTGGTATCTCTGTTGAGGTGGTGGTGGGTGTGGTGGTGGGGGGCACTGGGGTGGCGGTGGTGGTGGTGCTATGGGGGGTGGTGGTTGGTATCTCTGTTGAGGTGGTGGTGGGTGTGGTGGTGGGGGGCACTGGGGTGGCGGTGGTGGTGGTGCTATGGGGGGGTGGTGGTTGGTATCTCTGTTGAGGTGGTGGTGGGTGTGGTGGTGGGGGGCACTGGGGTGGCGGTGGTGGTGGTGCTATGGGGGGTGGTGGTTGGTATCTCTGTTGAGGTGGTGGTGGGTGTGGTGGGGGGGGGCACTGGGGTGGCGGTGGTGGTGGTGCTATGGGGGGTGGTGGTTGGTATCTCTGTTGAGGTGGTGGTGGGGGGCACTGGGGTGGTGGTGGTGGTGGTGCTATGGGGGGTGGTGGTTGGTATCTCTGTTGAGCTGACGGTGGGTGTGGTGGTGGGGGGCACTGAGGTGGTGGTGGTGGTGGTGCTATGGGTGGTGGTGGTGGGTGTGGGTGTCGGGGTCACTGTGGTGGTGGTAGAGCAGTACCCACAGCAGTAGACGTTGATCTCATAGTTGTAGCACATGGGAATGCCGCCGGGGATCCCTAGCTGGTCTTGGTTTCTGCACACCAGCCCCTCTTCGAGGTCACACAGCACCTTCTGTCCCAGGGCTCCGATGGGACGATCCGGAAACATGACGGCTCTGCAGGAGATGTTGGCTGCCCAGCCTTCCTGACAGGCCTTCTCAATGGACTCGAAGTCTCCACCTGATCCCCCGAAGCTCGGTTTCCCACTGTCTTGCCAGCCCGTCCATCGGCACTCATCCATACATGGCGTGGATGTTGGTCCGGGCGTGCTGGTGGTCACCGTCGTGGTGGGTGTTGGTGTAGCGGTGGATGTCGTAGTAGTGGTCGTCACGGTGGTTGTCGGTTCTGGTGTGGAGGTGATTGGTGAGGTGGTGGGTGAGGTGGTGGTGGCAGTGGTGGTGGTTGGCTCTGGTGTGGGGGTGATGGGTGAGGTGGTGGGTGAGGTGGTGGTGGTGGTGGTGGTTGGCTCTGGTGTGGGGGTGATGGGTGAGGTGGTGGTCGGCTCTGGTGTGGAGGCGGTAGTGGTGGTGGTTGTGGTGGTCGGCTCTGGTGTGGGGGTGGTTGGTGAAGTGGTGGGTGAGGTGGTCGGGGCCACTGTGGTGGTAGGGGCTGGGGTTGGTGTCTCTGTTGAGGTGGTAGTAGGTGTGGTGGTGGGGGGCACTGGGGTGGTGGTGGTGGTGGTGGTGCTATGGGGGGTGGTGGTTGGCATCTCTGTTGAGCTGATGGTGGGTGTGGTGGTGGGTGGCACTGGGGTGGTGGTGGTGGTGCTATGGGGGGTGGTGGTTGGCATCTCTGTTGAGCTGATGGTGGGTGTGGTGGTGGGTGGCACTGGGGTGGTGGTGGTGGTGGTGGTGCTATGGGGGGTGGTGGTTGGTATCTCTGTTGAGCTGATGGTGGGTGTGGTGGTGGGGGGCACTGGGGTGGTGGTGGTGGTGGTGGTGGTGCTATGGGGGGTGGTGGTTGGCATCTCTGTTGAGCTGATGGTGGGTGTGGTGGTGGGTGGCATTGGGGTGGTGGTGGTGGTGGTGGTGCTATGCGGGGTGGTGGTTGGTATCTCTGTTGAGGTGATGGTGGGTGTGGTGGTGGGGGGCACTGGGGTGGCGGTGGTGGTGGTGCTATGGGGGGTGGTGGTTGGTATCTCTGTTGAGGTGATGGTGGGTGTGGTGGTGGGGGGCACTGGGGTGGCGGTGGTGGTGGTGCTATGGGGGGTGGTGGTTGGTATCTCTGTTGAGCTGATGGTGGGTGTGGTGGTGGAGGGCACTGGGGTGGTGGTGGTGGTGGGGCTATGGGTGGTGGTGGTGGGTGTGGGTGTCGGGGTCACTGTGGTGGTGGTAGAGCAGTACCCACAGCAGTAGACGTTGATCTCATAGTTGTAGCACATGGGAATGCCGCCGGGGATCCCTAGCTGGTCTTGGTTTCTGCACACCAGCCCCTCTTCGAGGTCACACAGCACCTTCTGTCCCAGGGCTCCGATGGGACGATCCGGAAACATGACGGCTCTGCAGGAGATGTTGGCTGCCCAGCCTTCCTGACAGGCCTTCTCAATGGACTCGAAGTCTCCACCTGATCCCCCGAAGCTCGGTTTCCCACTGTCTTGCCAGCCCGTCCATCGGCACTCATCCATACATGGCGTGGATGTTGGTCCGGGCGTGCTGGTGGTCAGCGTCGTGGTGGGCGTTGGTGTAGCAGTGGATGTCGTAGTAGTGGTCGTCACGGTGGTTGTCGGTTCTGGTGTGGAGGTGATTGGTGAGGTGGTGGGTGAGGTGGTGGTGGCAGTGGTGGTGGTCGGCTCTGGTGTGGAGGTGATAATGATGGTGGTGGGGGCGGTGGTCGGCTCTGGTGTGGGGGTGGTGGTGGTGGTGGTCGGCTCTGGTGTGGGGGTGGTGGTGGTGGTGGTGGTGGTCGGCTCTGGTGTGGTGGTGGTGGTGGTGGTGGTGGTCGGCTCTGGTGTGGTGGTGGTGGTGGTGGTGGTGGTCGGCTCTGGTGTGGTGGTGGTCGGCTCTAGTATGGGGGTGATAATGGTGGTGGTGGGGGTGGTGGTCGGCTCTGGTGTTGGGGTGGTGGTGGTGGTGGTAGGCTCTGGTGTGGTGGTGGTGGTGGTGGTGGGGGTGGTGGTGGTGGTGGTCGGCTCTGGTGTGGAGGTGGTGGTGGTGGTGGTCGGCTCTGGTGTGGGGGTGGTGGGTGAGGTGGTGGGGGTGGGGGTCGGGGTCACTGTGGTGGTGGGGGTTGGGGTTGGTGTCTCAGTGGTGGTGGTGGTGGGTGTGGTTGGGATGAGGGTGGTGGTGGTGGTGGAGGTGGTGGTGGGGGTCGGTGTTGGGGTCGAGGGTGGGGGCACAGGACACTCATCCATTGGCAGACAGCAGTTGACGCGTATCTCGTAGTCATAGCACATCTCGAACGGTCCGTTTTCAAACTGGTCCTCGTTTTTGCAGAGGAAGCCGACCGAGAGGTCGCACCGCGCCTTCTGGCCCGCCTCCTCCCAGCTGAGGTGCGGCGCCTTGGCCGGCCGGCACTGGATGTCCTCCGGCGCCGGGCAGACGCTGCCGAAGGTCTCCCTGTCGCCGCCGCCGGGGCCCTGGCTCGGGCGGTTCTCGTTGATCCAGTCGGACCAGAAGCAGCACAGCTCTGGGGAGCAAGGCCCAGCCTCGGTCCTCTGTGCCCGGTGGCACCTTCCAGAGAGGTGGCCGGACCCAGGAGGCTCTGAGCCCCCGGCTGGCGGTCCCTGCCCCTGAGAGGCCCAGACTGGAGGTCCGGACACCACCCCACCCCCCCTGCAGCTGAGCACTGAGGCCCAGCGAGGGGGGCCCAGACCCACACCAGGCGACAGGCCCTGGCCACACAGTCCAGCCCGGGCCCCTTCGTCGGCTACGGTCCACTCCTTGTGCCAAAAAGTAGGTAACAGCCCTGGCCGGTGGTGCAATGGGTAGAGCATTGGCCCGCGCACGGAAGGACATGGGTTGTGGATTCGTGTGTGGGAGACAACCGATGGCTGTGCCTGTCTCTCTGTTTCTCCCTCTCCCCCTTCCTCCCTCCCTTCCACTCTCTTTGGGAAAAGCAATGGGAAAAAGATTCTCAGGTGAGGATTAACAAAGGGAGGGAGGAAGGGAGGGGAAAGAGAGGGGAAGGAAGGAAGGAAGGGAGGGAGGGAGGGAGGGAGGGAGGGAGGGAGGGAGGGAGGAGGAAGGAAGGAAGGAAGGATGGATGGAAGGAAGGAAGGGGAAAGAGAGGGGGAGGGAGGGGAAAGAGAGCGGGAGGGAGGGAAGAAGGGAGGGAAGGAGGAAGGGAGGGTCACCCAACCCAGGGAGGAAGCACGCGGAAGGGGCTTGGTCGCAAGTCCTGACCAACATGTCACCCCGAGCTCGCCATGTGCTTCGCATGAGCCCCCAGACCATCTGTGGCCTCAGAGCAGGTGCCCAGGGGGCTCAGGGCCGCTCCCTGCCCCCCACCCCGGCCCCCACGGGGACAGCGCCCACACACTTACTGGGAGTCGTGGAGGCGGGCGGTGACACTGCGGGAGCGGGAAGAAGACCCGTCACTACACGGTTGGAGACCCAGGCGCTGCCTCCCCCCCCCACGGGTTTCCCTCTCCCGTGGCTGTCTGTCCCTCCCGCGGGCGGTGAGGCTGCGGTTCCACCGGCCCAATGCCCAGGCCTCGAAGGACAGCCTCTGCTCCCTCTGACCCACAGGGGTACTTTCTGGCTGGATTTAGGAAATGACCCTGGCGCCTCCGCTGCAGCCAGGGCTGGGTGCGGTCCAGGCGCGGGCAAGGCTGGGGCCCGGGGACACCCATTCCCTGAGCCAAGAGGTGTGTGACACCTCCCGCCCAGGAGCAGAGGGTGAGACCCGGCCACACGGGCCTCGCTCCTGCCCCAGTTCCTGCTGGCTCGGGGGCTGGGGGAGGCGGGGCCCCGAGGTGAGGGGGTGGCCCTGGGCCTCACCTGTGCTGGGCGTCGGGGTCGGGGTGGTGGTGGTGGTGGTGGTGGTGGGGAGGGTGGTGGTGATGGGTGTCGGGGAGGAGACGGGGGTCGTGGTGGACACACAGATGTTGAAGTGCTTCTCCACAGTCCCGTTGGGGCTACAGACCTCCCAGTAGCAGAAGGAGCCGTCCTGAGTGAAATTGAGAACCTTCCCTGGGGGCGGAGGGGGGCGGCCGTCAGCACACAGGGAACCAGAGCCCATGGCCTGGCCCCAGAGCCACAGGCAGACGTCCCCCAACTCCTGCCAGTGGTGAGCCAAGGACCCCACAGGAACCCCATCCCAGAACCGTAAGGGCCCCCCCAAACAGCAGCCGCATCCCAGGAGGGTCACGGGCTCGCCACCCGGGGAAGCACAGTGGGTGGTGGAGCCTCCAGACCAGAGAGGCTCTGGGCGGGAAGGACCCAGAGGAGACACCCCCCATCCCCCTCCCCCGGCCCAGGCGTCCAGGGACGGGCTCTCAGGGCGGCCTCAGCGGGCAGCTCACCTCCCTCCGGCTGGCAGACAACTTGCGAGGAGTTGGTACACACGCTGCAAAGCAAGTGCAGGCTGCAGTCCGGGCACCTGGCTGTCTCGTGCCCGGTGCAGCCCAGAGCCCCCGGGGCCCCGACAGAGGGCAGGGGGTGGGTGGGGGGAGGCAGGCCAAGCCGCCCGAGAGGCCAGGACGAGAAGGGCGGCCTGGGCCCTGGCTCCCGCGTGCAGGCGTGTGCACGGGTGTGCACGGGGCCCGTGTGTGTGCCGGCCGCCCCCAGGGCCCCTGAGATGTGAGCTTACGTACCAGGACTGGCAGTCGTGCTTGGGGGGCACGGACGCTTCGGGTGGGTAGTGGGTGTCCTCCACGTAGCAGCCACACTGGTCTCTGGTGACACACTTCTTCAGATCCTCGTCGTAGATGGGCCGGTCCTCAGGGCACCGGGGGTAGCAGCCTGGTGGGCACCGGGCACAGGGCTGGAACCATACCCCTCAGACCCCACCCGGCGGCCACCCGCCCGCCCGCCCGCCCGCCCGCAGGTCCTTCTCGCTGGGCCGTTCCTCCGGGAAGGGCAGGATGGGAAAGGCAGGGCCCAGATCCACGCCCCGGCTGAGCCTGGAACACCCATAGGGGTACAGGGACAGCCAGGCCCCGCCCACGTCCGGCACCCCGGATCCCTGACCTGGCCATTCTCACTGCTTCATGTCCGCTAGTTCTCCACTCAGAGGCCCCCCAGCCCCTCCTCGGAAATGCGCCCCCATCCGGCGCTGCCGGTCCCTGGCACTCCCAGGCCTGACCTTACAGGTGGGGGTGACCTGTTTCTCTCCTGCCTCTCCCCTTAGCTCAGGCTCCAAGCCCCCGCTTCAATGGAGGAATTCTGCAGCGGGACCAGCCGCCGCCCTGGACCTCGGCCCGCCCCGCAGCGCCCCCCGGTGGCGGCCCGGCGCCCGGCTCACCCTCCAGGTAGGACACGGAGATGTTGGAGTGGATGCCGTTGATGGTCCTGCAGGTCTCGAAGCTGCGGTTCCCGCAGGGCTCGTAGTGCCACTCACACTCGTCCGGAGGGTTGTAGTAGTCGCAGAAGATGGCTGGGGGGGCAGGGCGGGGTCAGACGGGGGGCGGGCGGGGCCGGGGCTCAGGCAGGGGCAGGGCCTGGCGGGCACTCACGGCACAGGTCGGGCGTCCTCCAGAACACGCAGGCGCCCTCCTTGGTGCACGCCTGGGCGTAGGAGGCCACGGCCGAGCAGAAGCACTCGCAGTCGCCGCCCGTGTCGCAGGAGCAGCTGTCGTGCACGCAGGCCTCGTAGAAGGGCTTGGGGTCCACCTGGGGGGAAGCGGCCGAGCGCCTGGGTCCACGGGGCCTCGCAGGGCGGGCCTTCCCCCGCGGGCCCCCACCCACGCCAGCCCCGCTCCTGGGACCAGGCGCACCACCCGGCCGGGCCTCCCAGGGCTCTGGGGAGGTCGGAGGCGGTGGGCACCCTGCAGTGCGCGCGGTCCCTCCGCTGTCCCTCCGCTGCCGGACTGAGCACCGTGGGGGTGTTGGGCTCAGGTGGCCTTCCCCCTCCCTGGACGGTGCAGGAGGCTGCGGGTCCAGCCGGGGTCTCAGAAGGAAGGTTTCACCTCGGTCACGTGTTCAAAGGACACAGGATGGAGATGAAGCTGCAGGCCAGGTGCCTCTTGGGGACACCACGGACTCCCCCCAGCGCGCACGCCCACAGCCAGGCTCATGGGCACGCCCACCAAGCTTGCGGCCACGCCTATCGCCCTCGCGGCCACGCCCACACGCTCGCGGCCACGCCCACCTTGCTGTGGCAGGCGTGGAAGACCTCGCCCTTGATGATGCTGCACTGCTTCTTGGCCCAGGCGTGGCGGTGGGGCCTCAGGCTGCAGGGCTCGGGGGTGGTGGTCACGTCGGGGCAGGTGGGGGCCTCCTTCCAGCTGTTGCCAAAGTCCAGCTCGCTGTCCACCACCATGTGGTCCCGCGTGGTGAAGTCGTTGCTGGAGCGCTGGTCGAAGTTCCCGCACAGGCCGCACACAGAGCCCTGCGGACACAGGCGCGAGGCGTCCAGAGGTGCCGGGGAGAGGGTGGGGTGGGGGGGAAGGAGGGCGGGGGAGGGGGCGGGGAGGAGCGCACCTTGTAGGAGGGCGCCAGCTTGATGAAGATGGTGGTCTTCTTGTCCCAGATGACGATGATGCCGGTGCTGGTCTCCACCACCAGGTACTGGCCCACCTCTCGCGTGGTGTAGGCCACAGGCTGGCCCTCGTCCCGGTGAATCACCGAGCGGTGCTTGTCCTCCAGCTTCAGCTCCGTCCTCTGCGGGGGGAGGGGGGTCAGGCGGGCCCCGGCTCTCCCAGACCCGCCGGGCGGGCAGCACTCACCCCTATGAAGATCTTGATGGCCTTGGAGCAGGTGACGCCCGTGGTGCCGCAGGGCACGTTCTCGGTGATGATGCTGAAGGAGCCCTGCCCAGAGCTCTGGCCGCAGTAGTCCTGGAGCCACGGAGGGCAGAGGGCGTGAGCCAGCCGTGGGTACCGGCGCCCTGGGCACCCACCCCGCCCAGCCTTGGCCCGTCCTCCGTGGAGAGGGGACAGCCGTGTCCCACCAGGGCCCCTCTTTCCCGTGAACCCCACACCCCCGTTGCCCCAGGGAGGGCCACAGGATGAGAGGGCGGAGGAAGGGCCCTTTGCCATGGGCACAGCCCCCCAGGCCATCAGCAGCGCCAGCACAGGGGGGACAGGGAGCAGGGGGGGTCCAGGGGCGCCCCCGGCCGCACCTGCACGGCAACGTAGGAGCAGTGCCCGTCGAAGTCGTAGAACCTCCCGTCGAAGGTGATGTAGTGGCCGTTCCCGTAGATGGAGCAGGTGCCATGGCACACCTTCTGGCTGCAGGCCCAGCGCCCTCTCTGGCAGGTGCTGAGGAGAGCGGGACAGGGGCCTGGAGGGGCTGTGCGGGCAGCTCCCGGGCACCACACCGACAGGCCCTCACCAACCACCAACGGCAAGTGCCGCCCGGCACCCTCACTGGGGCCAGGACCCTGCCAGCCAGTGGGGGGGGGGGGGGTGCACGGAGCCCTGCACACCTGGGCCGGCCCCTGGGGAGGCCGCAGGCCTGCAAGCCTGGCCTGCTCCCCAGGGCACACTTCCTGCGGGCGCAAGGGGCTGTCAGCCAGGCCCGGCGGCTCACCAGGTGTTGCAGTCCACGGTGATCTTCTCGCCGGGGTTGTACAGGTCCTGGTTGTGCACACAGGGGCACTCCTCCTCCTTGACGCAGCCCCCACGGCCGTCGTCCATCAGCCCCTCGGGGCACACGCAGCCGCTGATGCACTCCGTCTGGTACTGGGGGCAGCCAGACAGGGGGGTCAGAGCCAGGCCAGCCCTGTCCTTGGCTGCGCATCCGACACTGCGGGCACCCTCGCGTCCCCCCTCCACCCCTGACCTCCCTCCCGGGCCCACCACTGGGCAAGGAGCCCGATGAGGGGCGGGGCGCTGGGCAGGGGCCCACGGGGACAGGGAGGGCCAACGAGACCCCTGTGTCCACAGGCCTGGCAGGCAGAGCCTCGGGCTGGCATCGAGCCTGCTGCCCCTCCCTCCCAAGGCCCAGGGCCCTGCCCTGCACACACCTGGCCGGCAGCCAGCGTCTGGCAGCTGACGGGGCGGGGGTTCCGGATGGCCAGCGCCGTCAGGTTGTTACAGTCAACGTGAATCTTTGGGGCCGCGCATCCTGTGGGACAGAGGGGCCGCCTTACTTCGGCTGCAGGGGGAGGGCGGGGGGGGGGGGGCAGGCGAGGGGGCCGCGCGGGCGCAGCGCCCACTTACTCTGGCCGAGCAGCTTGACCTGGGTGCAGTGCAGCCTCCCGTTCCGGCAGACGCTGCGGGCAGAGGCGGGGCTGAGCGAGCTGCCCGTGCGGGCGGGGATGTGGGGCCCCCGGGGCTGTCCCTGCCCCCCTGCCCCTCCCCGGCCCGGGACACCCACCAGCGCTCCTCCTGCCTCAGGACCACGTCGCCCGCCTCCACGTAGCTGCCGCGGTGGTAGCAGGAGCACTTGGCCTGCGGCACGCAGCGGCCCTTCTCGTCCAGGAAGGTGTGGTCGGGGCAGCCGCAGCCGTCCACGGGCGCAAAGCCCTTGACGCAGTGGCTGTCGGCCTCCGAGAGCGAGCGGCAGGTCTGCTGGCAGGTGGTCAGGTTGTACAGGAAGATCTGCGTCTTGGGGCAGGAGCCCACGTCGCTGTCTGCAGAGCGAGGGGCCGCGTGAGGGGCGGAGGGGCGCCCCGCTCCCCGCTCCCAGCACCCCGCTCCCAGCGCCCCGCGCCCCGCTCCCCCGCTGGCTGTCCCGGGCCCACCTCAGGCGGACACCTGCCCAGCTGAGGTGCCCGGACAGCCCTGGGACAGCCCAGCCGCACAGGCACACCCGCCCCTCACACCTCCCGCTGGGCAAAGGGGCTGCGGCCACAGCTCCGACCCGCCGCCTGCAGAGGAGGCGCTGCCCTGGGGACGGCGGGGGAACCAGGCCCGCCCCCCACGGGACTCCAGGACCCCGAGCCCCCGGACGCCCGCAGGGGCCGGCACTCACTGCAGACGAGCTCCCGCCAGCCCCACAGCATGACGCCCTTGGCGGCGCAGGCGCGGGCATAGGAGGACAGCGCGGCGCACATGCAGTCCTCGTTGTCCTGGCAGTTGCACGTGTCGTATTTGCACCTCTGGGCGGTGAGGAGGGAAGGGGCTGGGACCTGGCACGCCCGTGCCGGCACTCCCCACACCCAGGGGCACTCACACACGTGTACCCGGACTCACACGTGCTACACGTGTGCGAATGTGTATGCCCACAGACCCCGTACGTGCACACACTGACACCTGCACCACCTGTGTGCACACATGCATGCCCACACTCACACAGGCATCACACACGTGTACACACACACTCAGCAGCTTCCCGCAGCAGCCTCGAGCGCCGGCAGGTGCACCGAGCAGGCCTGGCCAGGGGGGCAGGCGCGCGTGCGGGTCCCACCCACCTTGTAGTACTCTTCGGGGTCCACGGCGGAGTGGCAGCGGCCGAAGGGGGTCTCCTTCTTTCTGAGCATCGAGCACCAGTGCTCTGCGTAGTTGGCTAGAGAGGGGCGGGGCTCAGTGGGCGTGGCCCCGCGGCAGGTCCCCTGAGTCCGGCCGACCCGTCACCCAAGCTGGGGTGGACGCTGTCCCCTCGTGGACCAGGCCCAGTCCCCTCCCTCCAGGTCAGGTCAGCCCAGAACAAGGCAGGGTGCCCACCGCCCCCTCTCAGCCTCCCCAGGATGGTGGGGTGTCATGGAGGGGGGAGGCGTACTGTCCCGGCACCAGGCCAGCCCTGGACGAAGGCCACCGCCCAGCAATTAGCGGCCCAGCCCCTCTGCCCTGTCGCCTGGCGGGCTGCCACCGTGGGGTGGGCCACCATCAGCCAGCAGGGCAGGCCCTGCCCCTCCCCCACACCGTGTCCGCCAGGAGCCGCAGCCGTGGGGGCGGGGGGCGCTCACCACTCTCGATGTTGAGGGAACAAGGGTCGTCCAGCCAGTCCTGCTTGTCCTGGCAGCTCGACTGGGCCTTCCAGGTGTTGGCGAAGCCGGCGCCCGTGGCCTCCACCAGCCCGCCCGCCGTCTGGAAGTCGTCACCCTCCTGGCCGTTGAAGTTCCCACAGAGGCCTGAGGACAGGACAGGGTTGGGGCAGGGGTCGGGGGGCGGGGGCAGGGATTGGGGGGCCGGGGCAGGGGTCGGGGGGCGGGGGCAGGGGCAGGGGCAGGGCGGGGCAGACCTGAGGGGGAACTCACCCTGCACGCGGCCCTGCGCGGCCTGGTCCAGCGTCAGGAACAGCTGCATGAGGGGCACCAGCTGGATCTGCAGCCTGAGGCCGAAGGCGGTGCTCACCACCAGGTGGTAGGAGGACGGTTGAAAGATGGAGAAGCTCGCTGCCGGGAGGGGTGAGCGCATGAGGGCTGCCGGCCGGCCCTCCCCACCCCTCCGCCCCCACAGCGCACCGCTCCCCACTCCCACTGCCCCCCACACCCCCACTTCCCCGCCAGGGCTGGGGACTGGGCGCACCTGTCACGTGGGGCAGGTTCACCTGCAGCTCGTTGAGCAGCACGCTGCCATCGGACTTGAAGACCACCACCTGGGGACAGAGCGAGGGCCAGCGGGGCTGGGAAGGGCCTCGGGGAAGGGGGTGGGGGGGTGGGGATGGGGGTCGGAGGGAGCGGCACCTACGTTCTTCTGCTTGTCTGCCAGCAGCACCACTGTCTTCAGGCAGGTCTCCTTGTCGGTGGCGCCGCAGGGGGCCAGCTCGCCCAGGAGGGCGTAGGAGTCGGGGTGGTCGCCCTGCAGAGGACAGGGGTGCGGTGAGGCTGGGCCGGGCTGGGCTGGGCTCAGGCCCCCCACAGGCGCCGGGGCGGCTTCCCACCTTGGTCAGCACGTAGTAGCAGTCGCCGTGGAAGGTGTACTTCTTCCCGTCGAAGGTGGTGATGTGGGAGCCGCCCTCCAGGGCGCAGCTCCCGGGGCACGGCAGGTCTTTGCACACCCAGCGGCCGGCGTTGCAGACGCTATCAGGCAGCGGGCACAGGTCAGACTCGGCGCACCCCGGCCCGGCCCCGCACTCACCACTGCCCGCCAGCCCCGGCCCGGCCCCACACTCACCACTGCCCGCCAGCCCCGGCCCGGCCCCACACTCACCACTGCCCGCCAGCCCCGGCCCGGCCCCACACTCACCAGTGCTCGCAGTCGTGGCTGACCTGCTGGCCGGGAGCGTACAGCTGCCCGTGCAGCTTGCAGTGGCACTGGCTCACGGGGACGCAGCCACCGTCCCTGAGGTCGTCGTACACGGTGCCTGGGACAGCGGATAGCGGGCCCGTCACACTCAGCTGAGATCCCCGGCGGCCGCCAGCCAGGCCTCCCCCGGCAGGTACTACTGGTCCCCACACTGCTGGCCAGGGCCTCCCAGGACCCTCCAGGTCCCACAGGACCCTCCAGGTCCCACAGGCCTGGCAGGCGGTCTGTCCACCGAGTGGTCACCAGGACGGTGCCCTCCCCGCCAGACTCCTAGCAGCCACCATGGCGTACGCAGGGGAGGGGCCCTCAGCGCTCTGTCCCTTCTACCCGGACCTGTCTCCTGACTTCACCCCTGTCCCCTCCATGCCCCCCTCTCCCCTCTGTGTCCCTGTGTCCCCTCGGTGCCCCCTGTCCCCTCCATGCCCTCCTCTCCCCTCTGTGTCCCTGTGTCCCCTCGGTGCCCCCTGTCCCCTCCATGCCCCCCTCTCCCCTCTGTGTCCCTGTGTCCCCTCGGTGTCCCCTGTCCGTCCATGCCGCCCTCTCCCCTCTGTGTCCCTGTGTCCCCTCGGTGACCCCTGTCCGTCCATGCCGCCCCGTCCCTCCATGCAGCTGGGCACCCACGCCCAAGGCAGTGAGGCCATCATCCCCGGGAACCTGGGCAGGGCCCCCACGGCTGCGCCCGCCGCACACGCACCTTCGGGGCAGAAGCAGCCGTCCATGCGGTGCTCCTCGCACAGGTGGCTGACCTCCAGGTGGGAGCAGGTGTCCACGCAGGGCGAGCCGCTCTCCAGGTAAACCATGTTTCGGGGGCAGGTCTTGGCTGGAAGGGCAGCGCAGGCCCCTGAGCGGCTGTGCCCGAGGGGAGGGCGGCTGGGCGGCCGGGCAGGGAGCTGCACGCCCAGGGCCCTGGGCTCCGGGCCTCCTAGGCCCAGTCCACCTCCTGGTCCGCAGGCCAGGCTCCCCACCAGGACCCCTCCCGGCCACCACCCCTGCGCCCGGGCCCTGTCCTCCCGACCCAACCCAGGCGGGCGCTTACGGCAGAGCGAGGCTGTCCTCCAGTTCCCGGGCCGCCCGCCGGCGTGCGAGCACTGGCGGGAGAACTCAGCGAGGGTGCTGCACACGCAGGCGGTGCCGGATGGGCACTGGCAGCGGTCCTGGGCGCAGGCCTGCACGTACGGCTCCAGCGGCACCAGGTCCAGGCAGCCCTCGAAGGCCTCGGCCGTCAGCAGCCTCTGGCACTCGGCGCGCTGCGGGCAGGCAGGCTCAGTGTGGGCGGTGGGCCGGCTGCTCCCACCTCCCTTCCCAGCTATGGGACAGGGAAGGGGCGCTGGGGGGGAGGAGCAGCACTGCCCTGGGGGGTCCTGGGCTGGTCCCAGTGACTCACGTGCTCAGAGCAGGACTTGGGGGCTGACACCTCCTCGGGGTCGTTGCACTCCGCCCCGGGCTTGTTGATCTTCTGCATATTTCCAAACTCCAGGGCACTGAAGAGCACGCCTGCGGGTGGCACAGCCCGTCAGGGCGCTGGGAGCCTGCACACACATGCACACGCACACACAGACATGCACAGAGACATGCACACACACGGAGAGACATGCATGCACACATGCACACACAGAGACATGCACACAGAGACATGCACGCACACATGCATACACAGACATGCACACAGAGAGACATGCACACACAGAGAGAGACGTGCATGCACACACGCACACACACAGAGACATGCACACAGAGAGACATGCACACACAGAGAGAGACATGCATGCACACACGCACACACGCACACAGAGACATGCACGCACACATGCACACACAGACATGCACACATGCGCGCGCACACACACCCGCCCGCCAGGCCCGGGAGCACGCACCATCGGACAGGAACTCCGAGTAGGTCTGCAGGCCGTTGTAGTCGCCGCAGAGGCCGCACGTGTGGTTCCGGAACCTGCTGTCCAGCTCCAGCTGCAGGGAGGAGGCGGGTGAGTGGCCATAGGCAGCGGGACCACAGGCAGGGCAGCCGGCAGCCAGGGAGCCCCCCACAGCCAGGCCACCTCCCGACCTTGTTTGGACATTGGCTCCACAGAAGGGCTGGGTTGGGGTGGGGAGGGGGCGGGGGAGGGCCCTGGCATCACTGAGGGTCCCCGCTGGGTGGGTGCTGCGGCCTGCTCCCCACCGCTAACCCACTGGGCTCCTCCGTCAGCACAGACGAGCCGCCCTGGACCACCCTGTGCCCGGCCCGCACCCACCATGAGCGCATCCTCCCGGTTCCACATGAGGGTGAGGCCGGCGCGGGAGAAGACCTTGGTGTAGGCGTCGCTCTGCTCGATGAGCAGCCCCGAGCGGTAGTGCGGGGTGCTGACCCTGCGGGGGGGGGGGGGGTCGCTCAGCCACCGCCTCTCCTCCCGTCCCACCCAGAGGGGCCGCGGCTGTGTGGCCCAGGCCCCTGTCCGCCTGGCCTCTCCTGTCCTGGGCAGGCCCCCAGGTGCCCCAGGAGGAAGGAAGGCGGGCTCTGCCCAGGTGGGGGCCTCTCCTGCCCACCCCAAACAGGCACTGAGCTCCCCCCAAACGCTGGGCCTCCGGGGGCCCTGCACCCACCCACTCGGCCCCGCCTGGCCACCTGGGCTGCAGCCCGGCAGGTGGGGACCCCGCGGGCAGAAATGTGCTTAGAGCCCATTATTCCAGGGGCTCCCCCGGCCCTCCCGGCCTCTGTAACGCTCGCCTGAGGTCCCAGGGCACAGGCCTCCTCTCCAGACTGCGCCCCACCCCTTCCAGGATGCCCGGGCTGTCTCCCACCCCGAGCTGGGTGGGCCAGGCAGGGAGCCCGGAGACACCGCATAAATGAAGCCCTGAGCCCCATCCCCCATCCGCGGACCAGGGGGCGCCAGGTGGGCTCCCCTGTGTTTGCTGAGTGAATCGGTGACCTGAACCCCAACCCCACAGTCTCCTTCTAAGGATGGGAGACCGCGGGGCTCACAGGGGCCCCACGTCTAGGACAGGGAGGGCCGCCCGCCACTCACATGGCCCCGTTCACCACGACCAGCTGGCGGGTGAGGTAGATGGTGTCGTCTCTGATGGTCAGCAGGATGTACTCGAGCCGCGGGTGGCCGCCGGCGCGGCCGGGGCTGCGCTGCACGTGCACGGCGAACTCCTTGTAGGCGGCGCGGCAGTCGGAGGCCAGGTTGTAGTCGCAGAGGCCGGGGAAGCGGAACACGTCGCCGTCGAAGGTCTTGTAGTGGAAGTCGCCCCAGGTGCTGCAGACGTTGTGGCCGTGGTTCCGGGCTCTGCCCTCTGGGGAGCAGCGGGCAGGGGTGAGCGGGCCAGGGCCCCGCCCGGCGGCAGCCCTCCCGGACCCCGGGGCCTCAGCACAGGGCCCAGGGAGGGCCCCCTCCCCGCAGGAGGGGCGCTGCGGGGCCTGCCGCCCGCCTGCTGGACAGAGCTGTCCCGTCCTAGTTCCCGGTTTTCTAGGCCACAGTGACCCCTCGCAGGGGGCCAACCACCTGGCCTGGCCCCACCAAGAGCCCCGATTCCTGGGCCTGAGGCCCCCCAGCCGGGCCCCTCCTGGCCGCCCCCAGGCTCACAGACACGCTTGGCTGTTACCACCTGGTCCAGCCCCCAACACACCCTGGCCAGGGGCCAGCTTCGGAGGGGTAGTGGGAACCCCGACCACCTGTCCTTCTGTCTCTCCTTCCTTCCCTCCACCCAGTGCCAACGGGCAGGGCTGCAGGCGCCCACAGGCCGGCCCCCCAAGTCTGGGCAGAGGGAGACCACCTTCCACTCCCAGGCAATGCCTCCCCTGCCACCCGCTTCCCGGCCCAGGGCACCCCCGCCACCCCTCACCTCTCCGCAGCTCTGAGCCCTCGGCCGAGGCCAGGGCCAGGCACAGGGCCAGCAGGCAGGCAAGTGGCTGCCCCATGGTGGCGGCAGGTGGTGCGGGAGAGCGACCTGGGCTGGGGTCCGGGCCTTATATGCCCAGCAGGGCCCTCAGAGGGCGGGGCGGGCAGGGGAGGGGCGAGGGTGGGTGGGGCGTTTGCCCAGTGATGGCGAAGACAGCTGTGGGGGCTCCGTGGCTGCGTGGGGAAATGTTGACTCAGTTATCTGAGATTTATCTTTTTATGTATTTGTCTCCCTGGGTAAATCTCCCCTCCTCCCAATTACCCGGTTCCACACACGCCCAGCGGATCTCGGTCCCTCCCAACACCCCCCACTCCCCCGCCCCCCCCCTGGGCCAGCGGGCGGGATGTCCGGCCGGAAGCACGTCCTGCAGGCTCCCCGGGCCCCAGGCCCCTGCCCAGCCCCCCGGGGTCCAATGAGGTGCTTCCCTGAGGCCCCGGGATAGACCCCACCCCATTCACTCCTCTTCTCCAGGCCCTGCCCCGCCTCCCCCACCAGGCCTCGAGCTCTGGGGTGGGTGGGGGCTGCTCTCCCTGCACCCAGCACCCAGGGCAGCAAGGGTGTGGGCTCCTGGGGGTGCTGCCCACTCCCGCCAGGCCCACGCCACTAATCCCTCCATCCCAGGTGGGTCCCACCTCAGGGTTACATGGAACTGGAACTCATGCCCTCTGGGGCCCAGGGAACCTGGCCAGGAGTTTTCGTCCCGCAGGGAGTGGGGCTGGGGTCCCAGAAAGGCCTGGGCAGGCGTCAGCTCAGGCCCTGCCCTCCCCCCTCCCCCCTGGAGGGGAGCACAGGGCCAGGCCCGGTCCCCTGGGCCCCACCTCTTGCCCACAGAGGTGACCTGTGGCCTCGGAGGAGGCTCCGACCCCCAAGCCAGCCCCCAGCCGCCCGTAAACGCCTCGAGGATCAAAGATCGGGGTCCAGCCCCGACCTCACCCCAGGGGCCCGGGCGGCACCCGCCGTGTAGCTGGTGGGTACAGGCCAGAGGTCTCCCCTCCCCACATGTTGCTCCTGGGACAAGTGGATCCTGACTTGGCGTCTGACCGGCCAGCAGCGGTGGGCGCCAGCTCCGATCATGGGGTCCGCGAGTTCCAGGGGTGAGTGGGGCGGGTCCATCGCCGCCGTTGCTGAGACTTGGGCCGGGGGCCGCCGGTGGGTGGAGGCTCAGCTGGCACCTCCGGGGCCACCTCTGCATCAGGACCTCTTGCCCCAACGACAGCTCCCGGGGGTCCCCACGGGGCGTGGACATCAAGGGGCCAGTCCCCTGGTGTCTGAGGGGGTGACCAGGAGCCGAGGGCCCTGGGCCACCGCGGCCGGGGCCTGGGGTGACGCCCTTGTCCCGTCCCGCGTGCGCCAGCCACAGGCCCAGGGACCGACTGTCCTGCAGGGGCCCAGGTGGTGCAGGCGCTCGGAGCCTATAGCGGGAGCTGGGGGAGCCAGGATTCAAGACCAGAGCCGCTTCCCTGTGGGGCCTGGGAGCCCCAGGACCAGCCGTCCTCGCCAGGCCCCCTGCCTGCGGGGCTGCCCTGGGAGGGAGAGGTGGGGCCTCCGGCCTGAGGAGGTCAGGCCGTGGCCCCTCTGGATGGGGCAGCAGCAGTGACCTGAGCCCCGGGGTCTGCCCAATGCCCCTCCTGGCCCCTGGCCTCGCCTCAGGCCCCAGGTGGGGCCACCGTGCACGGGGACCAGGCCACCCACAGGGGTAGGTGGGACGTGGACAGAGCTGGTGGAGGCCAGGGTGAGGTGACCCCTCTAGTCAGTGAGGCGGGGGGTGCAGCCCCGAGACATGGGGACAGAAACAAACTCGGACGCGTCCATTCAGGGCCTCAGACCCAGTGCCGTCAGACTGGCGGGGGCATGTGCACCCCCAAAGCCTCCCCTCCCTGGGGCTGAGCTTCCCTGTCTCCGGGGGACCGTCCTGTCCTCCCTGCAGGGTCAGTCGAGGAAGTGGCCGGTGGGGCCTCCCTCTGGACCGGGAGGTGATGCCCTCAGGCTCCCAGGACACCTGCCCGGCCACCTGCTCGGGCTGCCCAGGCCCGGAGCCCGCCCGGCCCACGCCCAGCAGTGTTTGCCCGGACACTGACCACAGGGAGGAGGCCACACAGACGTCACGAAAGAGCCTAAAATGACTGCTCCACGCTCTCTGTCCACAAACCCTGACTCATCAGGAAGTGGGGGTGGGGCGGCCACAGGGCGAGGTGGGGGGAGGGGAGGAAGGAAGAAAGGCTGGGGAGAGAGAGGAGGAGGGGGGCCCTCAGCCGCCCCCAGCCCTGCCCAGGCTCCGCCACCTCGTGGGGGGCTAGTTTCCTGTGTCGCCTCGGCCACCTCGGCCAGGCCCTGGTCCCCAGTTTGGGGTCAGACACCAGTCTAGATGTTTCTGTGAAGGTATTTTTTAAAACATATTTTTATTGATTTCAGAGAGGAAGGGAGAGGGAGAGGGAGAAAGAGATACAAACTGCAGTGATGAGAGCGAGTCACGGACCGGCTGCCTCCTGCCCGCCCCCTACGGGGGATGGAGCCCGCAATCCGGGCCTGTGCCCTGAGCGGGAATCGAACCGTGACCTCCTGGTTCCTAGGGCGCCGCTCAGCCACGGAGCCGCCGGTCGGCTGAGGACACAGTTGTGTCCAAGCATCAGCTCTAAACAGTGAAAGCAGCGTCGCCGGGGCGGCTGGCCCACCATCCCCGCGTTCAGCGTGGCTTTGCACCTGCCACGGCGCCCTGAGGGCGGTGGGCCTGTGCCACCTGCTCTCGCCCCTCCACCCGCGAGGCGACAGGACCGATGTCTGTCCTGCTCGTGCTGCCAGCTTTCTGGGGTGCGTGTCCATGCGCCCCCTCCCCCGCCCGCTCGTTTCCGCGGCCGTTTCGTACTCAGCGCCGTCGCTTTGTGCGTCGCCCCCGTTGCACGACCCCTGTTTCGTCCCCGGTTACCGAGTAGCTTTCCTGTACGTGGCGCTGAGACTATGTCCGGCAGCCGCCCGGCGGGCCTTTGGCTGGCTTCCAGCTCGACACGCCCACAGACAAAGCTGTGGGGGACACGGGGGGGGGGAGCGGGTGTCTGAGCCACGTGGACACGCACGGAGAGTGAGGGGTTGGGGAGCGGGTGTCTGAGCTACGTGGACACGGGGGGGGGGGAGCGGGTGTCTGGGTCACACGCTGCGTGTACGTCTGGCTTTTTCAGAAACAGGCAAACTGCTTCCCGGAGCGTGTGGTGTGCGTGACACCCCGGCAGCCGTGGGAGAGCCCCCTGCTCCACGGCCTCATCAGCAGGAACGTGTCCAGCTGCCTAATTCTTTTTTAATCCTCACGCGAGGATATTCTCCCATTGATTTCAGGGAGAGAGGAAGAGAGAGGGGAAGACAGAGAGAAACATCGATCAGCTGCCTCCTGCACACCTCCCACTGGGGATGTGCCCGCAACCAAGGTGCATGCCCTTGACCGGAATCGAACCTGGGACCCCTCAGTCCGCAGGCCGACGCTCTATCCACTGAGCCAAGCCGGTCAGGGCAGTGGTCGGCAAACTCATTGGTCAACAGAGCCAAATATCAACAGTACGACGATTGAATTTCTTTTGAGAGCCAAATTTTTAAACTTAAACTATATAGGTAGGTGCATTGTTATTAACTTAATTAGGGTCCTCCTAAGGCTTAGGAAGAGCCACACTCAAGGGGACAAAGAGCCGCATGTGGCTCGCGAGCCGCAGTTTGCCGACCACGGGGTTAGGGCAATAAAGGGCATTTTAAAAAATATATATTCTTAAATTTATTCCAGAGAGGAAGGAAGAGGGAGAGAGAGAAACATCAATGACGAGAAAGAATCATGGATCAGCTGCCTCCTGCACTCCCCCCACTGGGGATGGAGCCCACAACCCGGGCCTTTGCCCCGACCAGGAATCGAACTGTGACCTCCTGGTTCATAGGTCGATGCTCAGCCCCTGAGCCCCGCCGGCCGGGCAAGGGCACTCCTTATTCCGGTTGCTGATTGTTGCTGGCACAGCTGGTTTTTGTAGATCGGTGTTGTGGCACCTGCACTCTTGATAAACTCACCTGTTAATGTCGGTAGCTTCTCTGCAGATTCCAGACTTTCTACAGAGAATGTCACGTCACCTGTCACTTCCTTCTTGCTGTTCAATCCTGGGAGGAATTGTCATGGGTTTATTTGAGCCAAACTGCCAACCGTCGCCGGGAAGCGGGATCCCAGCGGATCGGATAGCGTTCCGAGGATGGCGGGTTCCCACCTCGGTTCACACATTGCAGTCAAGAGAGGAGCCACTCAAGCGAAATCCATTGGTGAGAGACCGGGGAGGCGGGAGAAGGCAAGTGGGAACCCTCTGGGATTGGACGAAAAGTAAGATGACAGACCCATGCTTCTTCGACAGAGGCGGGTCCAGGAAGGTTGACAATCAACAGTTGACGTGGCCGAACCACGAGAGGATCTGTGGCCTCCCCGTGGGGTCTGGAGAGAGGGGACCGCCCTCCCACTTCACAGGCATGTTACTCAGATCCAAGAGACGGCAGGCGGGCTCGGTCACGGTAACGACGGGCCTCGTCAGGGACAAGGTGGCCGGACAGCACTGCCCGCCGCGAGCCGCTGTCGGCGAGACGGTGGCTCCCTCCGCCCTGAGTTTGCAGGGCCGGGGCTGTCGGGTTGGCACGGCCCCCTTCCTGCCCGCGGCCTGGCGTGTCCGTCTCGTCCTCCTCCCGGCCGCCCGGCTGTGATCGTCCCGCACCGTGGGCGACGCGCGCTGACAGCAGACAGCGGCCGCCGGTTCAGGGAGCGCCTTCGTCCCGCGGCGTCGGCAGGCAGAGGGGCCGCCGGTTCCGGTCGCACGTCACTCTGCTGAGCGTTTTCATCGGGGACCAGTGTGGTTGTGGTTGGGTTTGGGTTTTGGGGTTTTTACTTTATTTATTTATCTGTGTATTCTTTTTTAATTCTTTATTGTTGCAGTTTCACGTACGTCTCCTTTTCCCCCAGCACAGGCCCGGCCCGCCGCCTGTGTCCGGGGCTGGCCTCGCACAGGGACACGG